TAATAAATAAATAAGCGAAAATAATTTGGAAACTTACGTAGCTGTGCTTTTTCTGAACAAACTTTAGAAACGAAGTCATATCGGGCCTGCCAAAGTGATTTATCGCTTTTAAACCAGTGAATATGCTTTTCTTAGATAGCCTCTGGAAATGGTTTTCACAAATATACTGCAACAGAGAGATATCACTCAACTTTGTGTATAGAGGAATAATTTCAACAAGTGTTATAATTGTTGCACAACTTACCAGCATGGTTGTGCGTAGATCGAACTTGTGAAAGAATTGCGTAATAAATATGTGAATTTCTAACACGTCTGTAACATCCTTCCTTTCGACGTCCCTCAGCACGTCGATGAACCATTCGAAGTGCTTGTGAGAAGGGCAAATCCATAGGAAATAAACCTAAATTTAATAACACAGGAAGCAACATGTTAACTACGGAAAATGTATAAAATATTAAACAATATTTCTTTCTGTTCTGTGATTCATTTCTATGATTTCTAATCTTACAGTTTAAAATTTCTTACAAATGAGCAGTCAGACTGATTATAATAAAAACCAATTACAACTACCTTTTTACAAGCGACACCGGAGTATCTATTCGTGGAGGTTCCAAACACAAGGTCGTTCAACATGGAAGCATAAGGGGTGACACCAATACCACCGCCGACCATCACAGCGACCTCGAATTTGTACCAATCTTGATTTCCACCACCAAATGGTCCCTCTATTCTTATTTTCGGATGCTCGTCCTCCGGGTTGTAGTTACAGGGATCGAAGTAATTACGCAATTTCCAAGTCCATGGCCCTTGTGCTTTAATGTGACACGAGAGGAAATTCTCGTGCGGTGCAGAAGTCAGGGTGAATGAATGAAATTCGTTCGACCTGAACGCGGTACAAGAAAGGCGAACCCATTGACCAGATAGATATTTCAAATTCGGTGGCCTGTAGAATTTAATTTTGATCACGTCTGATGGTAACAATTCCGTTTCGATGATGTCTAGCGCCATGTATTTGGTACGAAGGCTTACGACCTTGAAAACAATAATGCAACAATTAATA